ACAGGAGGAGGGCTGGGTTTGACCCACAGGCCGTAGTTGGATGACCTCTGCTCTAGAGGATTTTAATAAAACCTAGAGCCTAATAAGATGATATTCAAAATGTCCAGCATACAATCCAAAATTACTCAGTATACAAAGAATGAGGAATATATGACCAATTTTTCTGAGAAAAGACGATAAAAAATGCCAACCCCAAGATTACCCAGATGTTGGAATTATCAGACAAAGACTTGAAAACAGCTATTATAACTATGCTCCATGAGGTAAAAGTAAACACACTTGAAATGAAGGGAAAGACAGACGTTCTCAGCAGAGAAATAGAAACTATAAAAAGGGCCAAGTGGGAATTTTAGAACCCAAACCCACAATATTGGAAATAAAAATTCACTGATGGGCTTAACAGCAAAATGAAGATGACAGAAGGAGTCAATGAATTTAAAGACAGATCAAGAGGAATGATCCAATCTGAAGAAGAGAAAGGGGAAAAAAGATTGAAAAAAGAATGAACAGAGCCTCAGGGACTGTGGGCCTAGTATTCATCTCAGTTGGGTCTCAGGAGAAGGGTAAAAGGTTGGTGCAGGAAAAAAAAATATTTGAAGAAATAATAGCTGAAAGTTTCTCGAATTTGGTAAAAGACATACAATTACCAATTAAAGAAGCCCAGTGAACCCCAAATACGTGCAAAAACCCAAACCAAAACCTAACAAAAATATCCCAGATACATAATCAAATTTCTGAATGCCAAAGAAAAAGAAAAAAATCTTAAATGCAGTCTGAGAAAAACGACGAATGTAGAACAATGATTTCATTGACTGTGGATTTCTCATCAGAAACCATGGAAGAAGATGGTGGAATAACATCTTCAAAGTGTTCAAGGAAAATAACTATATCCAGAGAAAACATCTGCAGGAATGAAGGCAAACTAAGAGAATTGTTAGCAGACCTGTTCTAACAGAAGAGCTAAAGGAAGTTCTTCAGGCTGAAGGGAAATAACAATACCAGGGGGAAACTAGAAATTTAAGGCATGAAGGAAGAACATAGATGGTAAATGTCTCAAGTTCTTTAAAATATGAATGACTATCGAGAGCAAAAATTGTAAGTGTCTGGTGGGATTTTTAGTGTATGTAGATGTAATTCATATGACAACTCTAACACAAAGGAGGGGGGGTAAAAAGAACCTAGATGGTTGTAAGGCTTCTACATTTTAACTGAAGTGATAAAATATTAACTGTAAATAGACTGAACAGTTAGGTCTCTAGAGCAATCTCTTAGAAAAAACACAAAGAGATATAGTCAAATGTCAGTAGGTAAATAGAAATGAAATACTAAAAAAAAATTCAAATAATCCAAAAGAAGGCAAGAAAGGCGGGAGAGAGGAACAGAAACAGAGGGAACAGATAAAATGGTAGACCTAAATCCAACCACATCAGTGGTAACAGTAATTGTAAATGGGTCTAAATGCACCAATTAAAAAACAGATTGCCAGATTAGATTAGCAAACAAGACCCAACTATATCCTGTCTACAAGAAACTCATATTAAATATAAAGACATAGATAGGTTAAAAGTAAAAGGATGGAAAAAAGAGTTTGGAGACCAGCGGCTTGAGGAGAAGGTCTGGGTTTTCCTCTCTCTTATAGCTGGGTGGGGTGGGATAGGTGTAGTGGGGTTACTGTAGAAACAAGTGAACGTAGTGAGCCCCGAGGGCTGGCTCCCGGATTCCCCACCACAGCTATCACGTCAGGCAAGGATTGTCGCACACACACCCCGGAAGCCACAGTTCACAAACTACCTGCAGAACCAGACTGAACAGGGCTTCTCCCTACTTCCAAGAATACAAATTCAGCCTTCGCCAAAACAAGGGAATGCTCTTTCTCAGGGCATGGTTTGATTTGCCATAGCTGTGGGTGTGCTGCCACCACCCTGGCAACCTGGCACAGGCTTGGAGGATTCTGGTCTGATGGCAATGTGCTTTTATGCTCCCTGATTGTGTGTGAATTTCATCTTTTTCATCGTGAGTCTAAAATCACCTCCGCGGTGTCCACAACAGCTTCCAAAACTGTCTCCTAGAAGAGAGTGATGGATATCCCAGGGAGAGGTATGAAGGGCTTGGTTACAGGGGCTTAGTTTCTGTCTCCCATCCTCAGAGCTTTACAAAGCCACTTGACATGCAAAGTCCAATCCAAGACAAGCCAAATGCTTTCAACAAGAGGCTCTTTCCTTTGGAAGCAAATGAGGTCACTATTTGAGGAATCTGTGCCACTATCCCTTCACAGATGAATGAAAACAAAGGTAGGGCCTATGTAAGCAGAACTGTAGAAATTTAGATTGCAGAAACATTGGATAAATTGTGGGTCAGAGTATGCCAGGATTCATTTGAAAGGTTTCATTAATTCTCCAGACATGTTCAAGCATATTTCAGAAAATACTTGGCTTCCTGCATGAATGAAAAACTGAATTTTTAAATGAAGACTAGTTCAGGTTATTTTCTCTACCAGCCTAAGTAATTAATTAATGGCCACCGTCCAAATTATATCAAGTAGAAATACTATCAATGTTTTATGACAAAGATTCAGTTCCAAAGCTAATCGTGAACAGTCACTTGAATTTTGAAGTGAGATTTCCCTCTATATGCCTGTTGGAAAGTCTGATCTCTATTTTCAAATTATTTTCATACACTCTTATTGTAGAGATTGCTACTAGAATCTCAATACCTGTTCTCTTCTTCCACAGTAACAGAATCCTGATGTTTAGCCAGGTGTATGGCTACCTGGAATAGACTACGCCCCCTAGCCTCCCTTGAAACTCGGTGTAAACAACAGTAGGACTAAGTTCCGGCCAGTGAGTTGTAAGAGAAGTATTGGGTGGCAGTTTCCTGGAACCTTCCTTAAAACACTACCGGCACGTTTCCGTCATTTTTTTCTTTTTCTTTTATAATTTATTTTTGTTGTTGTTATTGAGAATATACACAGCAGAACATGCACCAATTCAACGACTTCTACATGTACAATTCAGTGACACTGATTACATTCTTCGAGTTGTGCATCCTTCATTCTCTTTCCCTTCCTTAATCTATCCAGCTACTTGGGAAGTGACTATAATAGCTAGAGTACTAGCTGCCATCTTGGATCATGAAGACTTAGGGAAGCAGTCTAGGGTCCAAAGGACTTTGTGAAACAAAGCCATCCTTCCAGCCCTAGGTTGCCTACTTTTGGACTTTTATGTGAGGGAGAAGTAAATTTCCATGCTGTATAAGCCGCTGTTATTTTCGATTTCTGTTACTCTCAGGTGAATTTAATCCTTAGATAGTTCCTAATGAGTGAAATCAAGAAACACTCTCGAATGAACCCTAAGAAGGAGTGACTAGATGAGGAAACCATTCCAATCTATCCTTTATAGATGAAAAGGGCAGTCAGCTACCTTCTTTGAGACATTTCATAGTAAGGTTGCAGTTAGGATGGAACTGTGTCCCCCAAAAATACGTGTTTTAAATCCTAAACCCATAGACCTGTGGATATAATCTCATTTGCGAACAGGAGTTTCTTTGTTATGTTAATGAGACATCAGTGTAGGGTATGTTTTAAGCCAATCATCTTTAAGATATAAGAAGAGCAGACTGGGCACAGAGAAGGAAGCACAAATGGAGAGGAAGATACATGCTACATGAAGATTGCCAAGGAACAGAGAAGCAGAAGCTGAAAAGAGACAAGGACCTTCACCTAGAGTCCACACAGAGAGAAAGCCTTTCCTTAGAGCTAGCACCCTGTATTCAGACTTCTAGTCTCCCAAACTGTGAGAAAATAAATTCTGGTTGTTGAAGCCACCTAGCTGTGTTATTTCTGTAACAGCAGCACTAAGAAACTAAGACAGCTGCCAAGAGAAAAAACAACCAACAACCAAAAAAAACCTTAACGAAGACCCTAAATGCAGGACCAGTCTTTGAACACATTTTAGTTCTATGTGGTTAGGTGGAAAAAACACCCAACAGGCAAGCCAAGAGGTCTGCCTGTATTCTAGTTCTGCCTCTGACAATCCCTTCCTTGGCCTTGGGTTTTCATCTGTGGACAATGAGAGTGGTGAGCTAGATATCTCTAGGCTTTTGTCCAGCACTGAAGTTCTAGTCCGTTTTCTAACTTCCATTACATTATATACTCTTTCTGGGTAAAATAAATAATCCATGGAAAGTGCTTATTGCAGTGCTCGGCATGTGGTAAGGTGCTCCATAAACATCAGCTACTCGGAACCATGTCATTTATTTTTGTAGTTTCCACAGTATCTTTTACATAGATGCTCAGTAAACATTTGCTGACATCCTCTGAGAATGCTTTTTGATCTGTTGATCCCCTGCTTGCCCTACGGAAGGCTTGTCCCCCGTACTTACTAGACTTACTAGTATCAGCAAGAGAAACCCAAGGAAGGAGGACTCCAGGTTCCAGGTTACACAAATCCATGGGAGAAAAAAATCAGCAGATGGAGGAGGAAATACACTATTTATTTACAGTTCTTTCACTTTATCCACAATTTCCCATACAAACGTAAAAACTAAAAAAATAAAACCACCACTTGGGAACACAAGTGTTTCTTTAATTAGTCTGATTGAGGGAGGAGTCACAAGCCCTCTCGCTCTGTGAAGGAAACTACCGAGGCACACTGAAGGGGAAAAGGAAAGGGTGAGGAAGAACGCCGGAGAAACAACTCCAGATGAGAAACGTAACACATACGGGTATGGTGGGGCTTCATTGGCAATGAGGCTCAAGGTGTCATCCGCTGGGAATACTGCTTGGCTACCCAAGAGGATGACAGCTGCTTGCCACCATCTCCCCACCTCTCCACTACCAAACATCAAAAATCGAATGTGGGCCACAGGTCTCATGAGCTGTGTGGGGTGTGATGGTGACAGCTGGAGACACAGAATACCTCTCTCTGAGAAGAGCCCCCAGACCAAGGGACCACACGGGAAACCGGTTTCCTTGGCACTGACTAGTCAGTCACAGCTTCTGTTCTGAATAAAACGCTGACTTAAAAAATGTAAAAACAAAAGCTCTCTCCAGATTCTGGGAAAAGGCAGAAGCTAAAAACATGGAGAAAGGGCATCTGCTGCTGCAGTCCCCTCTCCGGGAGGCTGCGAGGGGTGAGGGTAGAGAGCTCTGTCTTCACGCCCTCTTTTGCTTTAGAGGGAGAGGGAGCAGGGCAGATGCTCCAGAAAGGCCCAGGGAGGAGTGAGAAGAAAGGGGAAGAGAAAAACTCTTGAGACATTGATGTTGCTTTTAAGAGCAGCTGCATCTGCTCAAGCCATGCTGACTCCAGCAGACTCCCATTCGCTCCCTTCACAGCAGGGCACCCACAGACCAACCTGGAGTTGCTGAAGCTGCTGGCCTGGTAACTTTATCTGTGCTAGTGACCTAGACTGCTTTCACATGTTGATGCACACTATAAATATAAAATCATATCTGCTACAAAGAAGACATATATTTGTACATCTTTACCCATATACATAATAACACAATTTACACATAATATCTTGGAGTGGGTCATCATGGAAGAAGGATTTGGAGAGGTAAAAAGACCCTCCTCCCTCCCCTGCCCTGATCCTTCTCAAGGGACATTTAGACACCTGGTCGCTGGGTCCCTTCCCAGATGGTTTTTGTGGGGCTAGTCTGGACACAGAAGTTTAGACACATACCTAAATGCTGAGAGGTGTGTATGTGCGCGTGCTTACACATGCACACATACACACAGATCTGGTGAGAAAAGAAAAAATAAAATTCCTAGCCCTTCCCAGAGTTACAAGCATTAGTGCCTCCTCCATCTAACAGCACTGGCTCAGTCTAGGGAAGAAAGGGAAGGGCCAAGAATCTTAAACATAAGGTGTTTTTGACCTGTGATCAAATCAAACTATGTCACAAAGAGCAATGGTATCAGTTGGGCTGGGAGGTGAGAGACAGCCAGTCCATGTAGGGACAATGTGAGTTGAGACCCTGAGCCTTCCCCTTCTTTTGTCCAGTTTCTTTTAGAGGGGCAGACGACCCTGTACCTCCTTTTCTGTCCTTTCCCAGAGCTGGGCCCATCCACATGGCATGGAATACTGATAGTGGTCCAAGAGACACATTCAGAAACATGGAGTGGTGGACAGGCACGCCAAAAGTTCAGACCTGGGCGGCGGGTGTGAGCTTTTTACAGCAGGAGTGGTTCCTGGCCGGGGTCCACAGCTTGCACAGTGGCCACAGTGATCAGATTGCCATCAGAGATGGGGGCAGTCTGGGTCCCCACGGGGAGACAGCACCTATCGGCGGTAGTGATTGGGGGCATCGGCAAACATGTACTTGAGTCTGTACGCCTCTGCGAGAAGCAGCCCGATCTCTTCGTTGCCCCAGTGTATCGTAGGTAGGTTCTGTAGCAGCATAAGGAGACCCTGGAAAACAAGGAGGGGCTTTTATCATTCCTGGACTACAGACCAAGGCACCAATGGGCCTTCTCCTAGAGACCAAGGCCTGGAATGGGGCCCTTCCTCCTGGGTCACACATCCCAAAGGGCAGACCCAGCCTCCTGCCTCCCATGTAGCACATAGCCCTCAGCCCCTAGGTTCACCTTTAGGAAAGCCTGAAAAGCCTCTGTTGATTCTCCAATCTGCTAACACCTGTCTCTTAAAAAATATTACAGAGAATGACAACAATAAATATTTTTAAAAGAGAAAAATAATTACTCATCATGTAAGTGCATCTCTCTTAATTTTAAAATATTTCTTTTCAATCTTTTTCACATGCATATTTCTTTCAATAGTTATAATCATAATTATGGTTTTATATGCTTTTTAATCATCTTTTTTTACTCTAATTTTCATGTTTTTCCACACGGCTTTCAAAAATGGTAATTCTCAATGTTAGTATTCCATCATGTGGCTATGCGCTAATTTACTCAACCATTTCCCTTTTGTTAGATACTTAATTTGCTGCTTTTCCTTTTATTAACCTTTATTGGTAAGACTGCAGCATGTATCCTTTTGCATTTGACTTCTTTCTCCTAATCCCGACGTTCACTTGTAAGCACTGTATTTATCCTCCTTCCTGTTCTCCAAAGACTGTCCTCAACCAACCTGTCCAGCTTCTCTCTTACTGTTCCCAATGTACACGCCTTATTCAGCCAGGCTCATTTCAGCCAGGTTTATCTGTGCCTCTGGAGTTTAATTTATGCTGTTCCTTTTGCCTGGAACACCTCTTTTCTCCTCCACCTATCTAAATCTTACTCAGCTTTCAAAGCCCGAGTCCACTTGACTTTGTTCCCTCAAACAGCTCCATGGGGACAGCCTATTAAAGTGGCTATTTAGAGTCAAAAATGAATGTGAGGTTTTAGGTTATCTCTGTAATTTAGTTACCCATTCTGTTGCTGCTACTTCATGTTCCTTCTCTTTTTCTGAACTGGGTATTCTTATTTTTCTGATTATAAAAGTAATAGTAGCAAGACACAAAACCCAGAGGCCATAAAGAGAGCGACAGGTTTGATTACATACAATTTTGAAACCTCGGTATGTCAAGAGATATAAAAAACCAAGTTAAAAGAAACTCACTCTGAGAAAGTATTTTTAATGTCTATGAAAGACAAAAGGTTAATATCTATAATCAATAAGGAGTGCCTACAAATCAGGAAGAAAAACAGCCAGCAAATCAAAGTGATGTGAATAGGTAATGCACAGAATGCCACTGGCCCACCCACATGCTACGAACACTTTAAAAAACCCTGCTTTTAGCTGATCTGAACCCTCCAGCAATGTTTTGGCGTTTACAGCGTAGAAGTCTTGCACATCTTTTATGACATTTCTTCCTTTAGTAATAGCAGCTCAGCTGAGCACGAAGCTGCCCAGGGCACATATTACACACATTACAGCCACATGATTGAATTCCGGTCAATGGGATGTGAACAGAAATGATAGGGGTAACTTTGGAGTTCTGCACTAAAATACTTCCTTCTCCCCTTTCCGCTGTAGAAACTGGACATAAATGGTGGAGTGGAAGCAGTCATCTTAGACCGTAATGTTAAAGCTGTGTTGAAGATGGCAGAGTGACAAGACAGAAAAAATCTGAGTCTCTGCCACCTAGAGCCTATGTTAGCCTTGGACTGAATAAACCCAGACTGTTAACTGTAGAGAAGTGCCGTGCAGTGAATTACTTAATATGGCCCTTTTAGCCATTCATGGTTTTGTAGTGATTGGGTGGGACCATGCAAATAAGGTGTATGGAACCCTAATAAGGGGATTAGTCAGTTTTGTCATCCTGCTAGGCTTAAAAAGAGAGCGAATCCCAGAGCAGAAGGGTGACCTCACTACCACCAAGAAGAAGAGATGGGAGCAGAGCACATCCTTTGGACCAGGGGTCCCTGTGCTGAGAGAACCTCCTAGACCCAGAAGACAGAGAGAAAGCTGTAACACTGGAAACGGTACGAGATGGTGAGAAGCAGTGGCAGCAAACCAGGAGACCGGTGCGAGATGGCGTGGTGGGCTTCTCAGCTCACGGAGTGAGGCAGCTACAGTGGGTGTGCCAACCCAGGGAGCGAGAGAGCTGAGTGCCTTTGGGCAGGAGGTTTCCTGGCAGAGTCAGGTGCCTCCAAGCACTTGTCAATGGTGCTAGGCTTGCCAATCCACAAAGTGAGAGATGAACACCTTCAGGCTGAGGCTTCCTGGCAGAGTAGGGTGTCCCCGAGCCCTTGTTAGTGATACTAAAGAGCTTTGTAATGCTTGCCTGAGCAGGGTAGAGGCCAGGCCAAGGGGCCGAGGGCCAGAGAGAGGCCTGCCTGTGGGCAGAGCTGAGAAGAAGCTCTCCTGACTGAAGAACTGTATCCTGAGTTGTGCCTTATCCTGAACTGTAACCTGATACTTCCCTAATAAACCCCATAATTGTAAGTATTGTCTGTGAGTTCTGTGTGGCCATTGCAATGACTTACTGAACCCAGCAGAGAAGTACAGACTGCTGCAGAAGGGATGGCTGGTGTCAAAACTGGTAAAAAAAAAAAAAGTTGCAGAGAGGAGGTACGTCTGACCTCCACCTCATAAGAATCTGCCTTAGGCTGATGCTGATGGTTCTTCCCCCTCGTGAAGTTAGAGGACCTCTGACACCTCCCCGCCATTAAACATACATCTTTCTTCAAGTCACTATTATGTTGGAGTCTTGGCTATAGTAGACAAACTTATATCATTTTAAACAAACATAGGTTGTTATCTATAAAAATTAGGAATGCACATGGCATTTGGTTCAGCAACTCTACTTCTATATGCTTCTCCTAGAGAAATCATTTTATTGTTGTACTTTAAGTGAATGTTTACAATTCAAATTAGTCTCTCATACAAAAATTTATACATACATTGTTATGTGACCCTAATTGCTCTCCCTATACTATGACAGCACACTCCTCCTTTCCACCCGATTTCCCATGTCCATTCTACCAGCTCCTGACCCTCTGTGCCTTCTCATCTCACCTCTGGACAGGAGCTGCCCATTTAGTCTTATGTATCTACTTGAGCTAAGAGGCACACTCTTCACGAGTATCATTTTATGTCCCATAGTCCAGTCTAATCTTTGTCTGAAGAGTTCGCCTCGGGAATGGTTTTAGTTCTGGGATGACAGACAGTCCAGGGGCCATGCTTTCCGGGGTTCCTCAAGTCTCAGTTAGACCATTAAGTCTGGATTTTTAATAGAATTTGAGTTCTGCTCCACACTTTTCTCCTGCTCCATCAGGGACTCGCTGTTGTCTTCCCTGTCAGGGTGGTCACTGGTGGTAGCCGGGCACCCTCTAGTTCTTCTGGTCTCAGGCTGCAGTCTCTGGTTTATGTGGCCCTTTCTGTCTCTTGGGCTAATACTTTCTTTGTGACTTTGGTGTTCTTCACTCTCCTTTACTCCAGGTGGGTTGGGGCCAACTGATGCACCTTAGATGGCTGCCTGCTAGCTTTTAAGACCCCAGAATGCCACTCACCAAAGTAGGATGCAGAATATTTTCTTAATAAACCTTGTTATGCCAACTGACCTAGATGTCCCTGAAAGCATGGTCGCCAGACCCCTCGCCCCTGCTACTCTGTCCCTTGAAGTGTTTGGTTGTATTCAGGAAACTTCTTAGCTTTGGTCTAGTCCAGTTGTACTGACTTCCCATGTAGTGTGTGCTGTCCTTCCCTTTACCCAAGATAATTCTTATCAACTGTCTAGTTAACCCTCTCCCTCCCTCCCCACCCTCCTAACCATCAAAGAATGTTTTCTTCTGCATTTAAACCTTTTCTTCAGTTCTTATAATAGCGGTCTTATAAAATATTTGTCCTTTTGTGACTGACTAAATTCACTCAGCATAATGCCTTCCAGATTCCACCATGTTTTAAGATGTTTCAAGGATTCATTGTTGTTCTTTATTGTTGTGCAGTATTCCACTGTCAATATATCGTAATTTGTTTATCCATTCGTCCATTGATAGGCACCTAGGTTGTTTCCATCTTTTTGCTATTGTGAACAGTGCTGCAATGAACATGGGTCTGCATATATCTATTTGTGTGACAGCTCTTATTTCTCTAGGATATATTCCAAGGAGCAGGATTGCTGGATAGTATGGTACTTCTATGTCTAGCTTTTTAAGGAAGTGCCAAATCGATTTCCAAAGTGGTTGTACCATTTTACATTTCCACCAACAGTGTGTAAGTGTTCCAGTCTCTCCACAACCTGTCCAACATTTATTATTTTGTGTTTTTTTGATTAATGCTAGCCTCATTGGGGTGAGATGGTATCTCATTGTAGTTCTGATCTGCATTTCTCTAATGGCTAATGATCGTGAGCATTTCCTTACATGTCTGTTAGCCACCTGAATGTCTTCTTTGGCGAAGTGCCTGTTCATATCCTTTGCCCATTTTTTTAATTGGGTTATTTGTCTTTTTGCTGTTGAGGTTTTGCAGTATCTTACAGATTTTAGAGATTAGACGCTGATCAGATTTGTCATAGCCAAAAATTTTTTCCCATTCTGTAGGTTGCCTTTTGACTCTTTTGGTGAAGTCTTTTGATGGGCATAAGTGTTTGATTTTTAGGAGCTCCCAGTTACCTAGTTTCTCTTCTGGTGTTTGTGCATTGTTACTTATGGTTCGTATTCTATTTATGCCATGTATTAGAGCTCCTAGCATTGTCGCTATGTTTTCTTCCATGATCTTTATCGTTTTCGATTTTATATTTAGAGGTCTTTGATCCATTTTGAGTTAGTTGTTGTACATGGTGTGAGGTATGGGTCTTGTTTCAGTTTTTTGCAGATGGATATCCAGTTATGCCAGCACCATTTGTTAAAGAGACTGTCTTTTCCCCAGTTAATGGACTTTGGGCCTTTGTCAAATATCAGCTGCTCATAGGTGGATGAATTTATGTCTGGATTCTCAATTCTGTTCCATTGGTCTATGTATCT